CAAATGTCTTATTATTCTAATTCACTGATTAAATGTAAGAATTTGACTCAAAAGATAATGGACACTTTTAGAAAAAATGGCGTTATAAAGGTAAAAATGCCCATAAAATGCAAAAATCTGTTTAAACCTATTGGAAAAGATTAATTTCTATCAGTATGAACTGACCACCACACAGAATATGAAGAATATTAAAAACATTAGGAGTCAGCTGTCTTCGGCAGTCCTTAAGGTACCAGCACAATAACACACTCAGCAAAATATCGTCTAATTATCGTTATCGATAAAATCCCAGAAAATATCGAGATATCGAGATAATTTTTTGTCAATATCGCACACCCCTACAGGACTGACAAGTGACAACCGTATTCTGCTGCTGTGTGAACCTGGCCAAAATATCATCTTTTGTGTTGAGCAGAAGAAAAGGCTGGAATGACACGAGCCTGCAATGGCTTCATATTTTTGGGTGAACTATCCCTCTTAGCTGTAGACTATAAAAACATACTTATCAATTATTGTACACGATAGAATTACAGTACATTGATTTAATATTTGATTAAATCAAATAACAGTGGGACTTAAGTTTGTCTGATGCTGCATTACTGAATTAAAGTAGCTTGACTGTTGTTTCTGGGTAATGTCTGGGTAAATTTTGATTTGTGAAGACTTTGGATTGTGTCCTGGAAAGTGTTCGAGCAATACAGAAAGGCTCTTTCTCAGTCTGTCTGTGCATGCTGCTGTATCCACTCACTCTCTTAAAGTGATATAAAAGGATTACCTCCACCAGGGTCTTTTGCTTTAGTTCTCATTAGGGCCTTTCGCACCGCTTTAGTTCCATAACTAATGGCGCTTTTCCACTGCGTGGTACGACTCGGCTCGGCACGGCTCAGTACGGCACGGCATGGTTCGGCTCGGCACGGTTTGCGTTTCCACTGCAGTTCAGTACCGCTTTAGAGTGGGCGGGATTATTCACATGTCGTTATAGTTGCGCCGCCTCTACTCCTAAAAAAAACGTTTTCATTCCGCGTCGCCCCATCAAGCCTCGCTGGACAGAAACAAAGAAGAACAACATTAACAACAGGGAGGATGGAGGACGCTGTGATCGGAGCTGTTTTTGTTGCGTCTCGTGGGTTTCACAATAATGAAATGTATACGTAAAGCGATTGAAAGAAACGGAAAGGAGGACTAAGAATCTCCAACGACAACTGGCAGTGCTACATTTGCTACAAATGCCTGCACTTCAGCGTCCGTCCATCTATCGCTGTTCTCCATACTTGCGAAATAAGTTGACACAATGTTTACAGTATGTTTACATGGCGTTTTAAATCATGGCGGGTGAGGGCGTGCTCCGGAGTAGGAGCTAATTTGGTTATCGAAAAAGGCAGTCCGGTACTAAAATCGCACCCAGTTCCGGCGGTGCGAAAACGCCAAAAAGTGGGTAGTTCCACAATTAGTTCTGGTACTATGAAAAGGTTCCCTCAGTGCGAAAGGCCCTAATAGGGCCCGTGAGAGGTTGTGAAAGGGTACCCCTCTGCATTGTCTTGAGCTCTTTGTGTCCTCTGTGTCTTTGTGGTTTCACCCTGGGACCCAACAGCTGCCCTGCCCCCCACCAACTCCCCCGAACATCAGCACTTTGAAAAAATCTAGTTGCTTCGTTTGGCCCTGTATTCCATGGGACCAAGTGCTTTCACAATACTTCATGTGAACTATGATCAACAAATGTAAGATTTATCAGTTTCACATCAGCTTTGGATGACAAAAGTATAATCAGGGCTTCACGTGGGAACCCCTAGTCCACTTCAAGAAAAAGTCTGCCTTCGTCTTAAGCGCCCTTTCACATGACTTGCGTCAGGGCCTTAGTGCACTGCTGCTTTGACCTCAAAACAAAAAGTGCTACAAATAGTGTCAAAGTGCAGTTTTTATGAAAATAATGGGTAACAAGAAAGTGTATATGATAAACAGTGAAAACATTTAATTTTTATATTTTTTTCCAGATACCAATAGAAAGCAGGGCTGCTTATGTATTGCAGATATATACATAAGAGTTAATTATGTAGACCGTAAATAGGATTTGTTAAAATGGGGGGACCATTTCGAAAAAGTAATTTTTTTTTCACTATCTATTGATAAAACTGTCAACAGAATTAGGTACTGGCAATGTAGGCTTGCTTGGCCAAGTGGATCAGTTGATGCAGATAATCTCAAATGCCAGAATAATGTCCCATTAATCAGCTTGGCTGGTATGTTTACTGATCACTATTTGATATGTTTAAAAAAAAAAAAAGTTTTTTTTTTTTTTTTAAGTGCAGATGTACAGGGAAAGTATGCCAAAGTCAGATGACCAAATTGCTATCCCATACTCGGAATTTGTGCTCTAAAACTAATATATTATAAAATGTAATGTTGCTTTGTGCTTTAAACCATGTTTGAAAGCCACAAACTTGGATGCAAAGTTAGATGTGTCTTTTGTAAAGATTCTTGACTTAGCCTATATGGTTCCATGAAGAACCTTTAAAGGGGTCATATGATGTTGCTAAAAAGAACATTATTTTGTGTATTTGGTGTAATGAAATGTGTTTATGCGGTTTAAGGTTCAAAAAACACATTATTTTCCACATACTGTACATTATTGTTTTTTCTCTATGCCCCGCCTTTCTGAAACGCGTCGATTTTTACAAAGCTCATCGGTCTGAAAAGCGAGGTGTGCTGTGATTGGCCAGCTATCCAGTGAGTTATGATTGGCCGAATACCTCAAGCGTGAGACGGAAATGTTACACCCCTTACCATACTGTGATGCCGTGTCCAGGCCGGAGCGACGAGACTGTGAGTCAGAACAGCCGGCATTATAGTCTACTCTATAGTCTATAGAGAACGACGCAGCCAGCGGGCTTGCGGCTATCACATGTGACGACCGCGGGCTGGACTCCGCTTCGTCCATGGTGAAAGCCGATCTGGCGATTTTTCCCTAAAATGTATTGTGCAGCCCTAGAGGTGCTTCTCTGCCCATCTGTCTCTCTCGCTCACAGTCTCGGACTCGAAATGGCAAGTCTGCTTTTTTGTTGGCCCACATTCATGTCTTCCTTCTACCCTGTTGACACTGAATTATTTACTGTGTGCATCAGAATTCTCAGGTGCTGGAACTGACTGCATGCGTCTCTACAGAAAAGACAGGCCCATCAAATCTTTATTACATGTAGCCACAGGTCGGTCTCTGTTTGCACCAGTATTCTGAAGAAACTTGTCCCTCAGTCTCTGTCATCTGGAACAGAAGTTGTAGTGCTTGTATGTAAGGATCAGGGCGTTTGAAGTCTGGCTTGCTTGTTCATGGTTGAAGAAGCTGTGTCTTGGGATACGGTGGCTTTACAAATTCTTGTTGTAACATATTACACAACACCAAACTCCTTTTGACCCAGACTACTAATTGAATGTTTCAATGCTTTTTTTTTTTCATTTTTTTTTTTGTTGAAATATTCAAAATGTGTGTTTAACAACACATTGCTGTACTGACTGAACAACCAGTCAGTAAACAGCAGTTCAGTAAGTGGGCCAGAAGTTGATTCCGTAATCACTGTGATTCAGTGAAAGACTGATGACCGATTCGGTGAAGGAATCGTTTAGACTGAATCGATCCAGTAAGGCCTGAGTTCTTATGTCTTTTTGAATGATTAATTAAAAGAACTTGGCCAATTTCTCAGAGTATTAGACTGTTGTAAGTTTTTTTTTCTTTGATAAGACACATTTTCTTTTTTTGATTCATCAGTTCTGACTGCAAACTCGTTCAAAAAAAAAAAAAAAGGTACAATTTGGTTTCATTTGGCATGGTGCTGTAGAAAACATTGAAATCACTGCTTTACAACCATGAACATTTAACGTCATGTGCCACAACACCTGTACAATGATTAGCAACTTTACCCATTCTGATGATAACCAGTATTACCTACGATGGCTTATGAAGATTAGCCAATCATAACACAGGTATATTTTCACATCACTTTAAAAGTGTTTGTGCTGCCTTAAAATTAAACTTGAAATGTGAAGTTGTATTAACTGACATATATCTCAAGTTCAATACAGGAAGTTATTGCAACAATTTGTTTTTACAGTGTTAGAAGTCTTAAAGGTGGACCTCAGCAAAAGCATTGAACAGAATAAGGCCCCTTTAAAGCTCTCTCTCCATGTGTCACATCCATATGTCTGTCTGAGATGTTGTGGCTGTATGCAGAGTAATGGGCATCTGGCGGCTCAGTCAGACTGACTTAAGGACTATTAGTGAAGATAAGCCTATAGAGACAGGGAGTTGAGCCACAAAGCCCTACAGGAAGACACGGTTACATTCTCCCTCTCACTTTCTGTCTCCATGTTTTGTGGTTTTTCAAATTCATTTCAATTTAATGGGGTTTATTTGAATGGCAAAAAAAGTTACGTCTTGCTAAAGTTTTTGCTTAATATATATTTAAAATGGGAATACAGCAATGTCGTCCTTGTTTGATTGAGGCCAACTGCTGTTGATGAAGCCCAGGCATCTCTTATAAATATTGACATTGACAACCATGCCTTATTGTTTATTGTTACTGCAATAATCCTGTGTCATTAGATTTGTCGTACACTAGAGTACTTGATTGAATTATCAATCATGGCCTTCAGTGGTCAAATAATTGTAATCACTGCTCCAACAGATCTGTATATCTGCTCATGTGGTCAACCTATCCCATGTTGACTTGCAGATAATATATTAATATGCAAATTAATATTGTATTTGCCTTGTTATTAGGTTGATTTTCTTTATAGCAGAAGCTTTAAGCTTTTTAATTTTTAGAATGAAAAGTTAAATCAAACCAACAAATAAATAAGAGCCGCACCATATGAAAAACTGACATTGCAGTATTTTAAACATATTTTGTGAAATACAGGGTTTTTCACAAAGGTGTTTTATATAGCTATGGTTGGAAAGAATTGTGAGAGTGATTTTGTAACATAGTGATAAAGCTGAAAAATTGCTGTAATGACTTTTGAGCACAAACCATCCCTTTAGGGATAAACAGTTTGGAAAATCATTTGGGAAAATTTGTTTACACCTGAGCTTACTCTTGACAAGAGCCAGCTCAAACCTCTTAGTAAAGTGATCACAGTAAAAAAAAAAAACATTGGTAGACCACTTACAATGTTTGACCCCTTTAATGATTATAATTTTTAAAATTAAATTATAATATTAAAGAAAATAAATATTTATAATACTTTTGTACTGTAAAATAAAACATTTAATAAAATTATTTATAGTGCAGTTGTCAAAATTGCAATACCGATATTTATAGTACAGCTTTTTTTTTTTTAAATGTTCAACCATCAATCTTATTTTGGTGGTTTGCTGGCAGATAAATATGCACTGCCAGTATCAAAGTGAAGTAAGTGTGTAACAAGCGGGTTAGTATCTTAAATGTTACTTTGTAACATCAGCCATGTGAACAAAATCCCAAATTTTGCTTTGTTAACCATGGGACATCTTAGTAAGGCATATGAATTTAGCTATTTTTGCTTTTAATTACTTCTGTCTGCTATGCCACCCTTTAAATGCAGACAATAACAATAATCTTTCTCATTCATCCTCTTGAATACAGTTGCAACAGATGCTTAATTGTTGAAATACAGACATATACCGTACACAGTCTTCCTTTTTTCCCCCATAGCCTTAGGCAAAACCACTCTGATGTATTTGTGGCATCGGTTTTTTGTCCTTTAAAGCATGAATCAAACTGGTGTTTGCCTAGCTGGAGAGTTGGCCTTGGGATAAATGCTAACTGGCATGACATCTTTGTGTTCCTGTATGTGTGTGCGTCTCAGTGTCTGCCTACATTTACTTAACCAGCCCGTTTCCTCTCGCCTGTAGTCTGTGGCTCAGCACATCAAAGGATGTCTCTCTGCAGAGCCTGAGATAACAGCGTAGCATAAACCCTGCTGCTCCACTAAGCTTTTCCAGAGTCTTTCCACTGCCCTCAGGCGCACCTTCTACCTCTTTTGTCTGCCTGAAGCCTTGGTAAAGATGTGCGTGTGTGCGGTGGTGTTTGGCAGGCTGCGCACCCTAGGTAGAGTTATTTCCTCCGTCTTATCCAGCGAGAGGCATGTGTGTGCAGGCACGTGTCTGTTTGTTTGCTGACCTGCCAATCCTCTGTTGTCCTCTCCGTCTGGATAGCTGTTGTTCATTCTGCTGTAAGCCAGACTGCTATGCTGTTTTTCGCTCATGTATATTTATTTAGTCATTTATCAGACGCTTTTATCCAAAGCGACTTACAAATGAGGACAACAGAAGCAATCAATTGTAGTATTAAAACAACTAAAAACAGATCAAAAACTAAAAGCTTAAACTTTATAAATACTACCTATACACATTTCGTGATATCAGTAAACACGTCTCCGCAGAGTAAACAAAACAGGCGTCTTGCGGAAAACGTCTGCGGAACAAAAGAAGGCTTAAGGCAAGAAGTAGGACCCGTGTAAATATTGGATCAGCTCTTTTGGGGTAGGGGCGTGTTTGTTTTGGTGATTTCGAATGTCAACGTTGGCTACCAGAAATCGCTTACCCCACCTTTAATTAGGAAAGACTAATGCTGCTGTGTGTTTCTAATACATAAGCTGAGGGAGTGATGGTAAATGTGACATCTTTCTCTCTTCTGACAAACTTAAGCAATCTTGTGAAACCTTTGTGAAAAGGGTCTGTTGATATCAAGAATTGTGAAATTGTATTGCTTTCAACTACTGAGATTTTGGTATTGTAACAACTCTTTCTATGTAAGGAACTCACTAGACTTTGAGACAGCGTCACTGTCTCGGCACAGATTTTTGTCCACTCTTTAGGGAAAAAGGACATTTCACTACTGTTCTTTTTAAAGTGGATGTAAGGGGCTTTTTGGCATGTTAATGCCTGAACTTTCCCCCACACGCCTGTTTGTTCCTGGAGCCATTATGTTTTGCTGATCTTTTTCTCTTGAGAGCTCTGGCCAGTGTCTCATCCTTTAGTCCTGGCGGTCACTGTGAAGGGGAAACTCCATTGTGGGGGTTTGTACATGGCCTGGTACGAGACTCATGTTCATTTTGCTTAACAGCAGCACCTTTACAGCATCTCTCATGGCTGCAGTATAAAGGTCACTCACTGTGTATTCTCCACTGGATGCCATTATTTTAAAACATTATGCCATTATTTTTCTTGAACTGAAGATTTTGGAAACCTATGCAGACAGAAATAATTGCTAAGCATGAAATTTCACAATGCATTTAACATCCCTAATGCGCCGTGGATTTGAGGGAATTGGTATTCAGTGGGAAATGTTGGCTGGTATTTTACCCATTGCAGTTTTATTGAATGGAAATATGTTAGGCTATGGTATTATTGTTTAAATATTTTCCACACCAAATTGGCTACATCAGCATAAAAGTTTCAGTAAGGGAAAAAGATAATGTTAACAGAGCCTAAATATTTGTATTGTCCACCAATGTGTCCACAAATGAGCACTATTGAACCAAGGACTTTTATTAATGCAATAAATGTAGTCATTTTTCATTCATTGTTACACACATAGTGGACAATAGCATACTAAAAGTCTACAGAATGCCTTCCGTTAATGTTATATCTGTGTGTATCTGTGTATGTGTTAACTCTATATAAAACTTGTTTATGAATTTTTGTACCTCAAAATGCTTTTAGAAAAGAAACTTATGATTTGTTCTCATTTGATACCACATAGTTTTTCACCAAGCAGAATGAAAGATGCTGAATAAAAAAAAAAAAAAAAACACCCACACCCGTTGTCCTCTGGACTGGATAATAAAAATCTGGCACCTGTATGCACACTATGGTTACCATGGCAACCAGGGCCCCCAATGTTCTTGATTTCCTTTGGGACTTCACAGCTTTCACATCAACATGGGAATTTGTGGTACCTTTACCTCTCCAATGTGCTTCTCCTGTGTAATCAGACTGTTTTCTTGGAGGAAGAAGTGAACTTCCATTTTATTAGCACATCCACTGGTTCAAGGCATTCTTTGATTACTTTTGTTTGGTAAAAACTTGGGTTGAATTTGTCAGTTTATTAAATACATAACTTTATTTTAGATTTGAATCAATTACTTCAGGTTTTCAATAGAGTAAACCAATATGGGTTTTTTGGGGCCGATACCGATATTAGGGAGTAAAAAAAAGGCAGATATCGATATATCGGCTGATATTCTGTGTATATTATAGTACAGTTCCAGTCAAAAGTTTGGACACTTTCCCATTCGTGTGTCCAAACATTATAAATATAGCATAAATAGCATAAATATAAACAGCATAAATATAAATTCTCGCGCACTTTAATGCCCTTTGAATGTAAAGTGTACGTTCCCTTGGATCTGGAATCATGGCGGAATATCATGTGAAGTCCACTTCGCAGGGCACTTACGGTCGAATAAGCCAACGCTTGAATGCTGCTGCCTGAACAAGAGACCTCCTTACTGAAGTGAAAGTGTTGGCTGGTGTCACTATCTCGTGAACGCGCCGGCGGATCTCCACCAAATTCGGGGGATCCCTTCAGCTCAAGGAGCCCTCTCGATGCCACCCTCCACATGTCGGTAGCCCCCCGGGATTGCTAGATCGGTCGGCGCCGGACCGCTAATTTAACCACCCGTAACTCCCGAACCCCGGGGGCTATCGACGCAGGGGGGGTCTCATTCTGCCACCCTCCACATGTCGGTAGCCCCCCGGGATTGCTAGATCGGTCGGCGCCGGACCGCTAATTTAACCACCCGTAACTCCCGAACCCCGGGGGCTATCGACGCAGGGGTGGTCTCATTCGAAAGAGGGCCTCGAGACGTACACTCTATTCGCATTCGAGAGGGTTCCTCGAGCTGAAGGGATCCCCGAATTTGGTGCAGATTCGCCACGCCTTTACGGAGATATGGCCGTTCAAAATTTCAGTGGTTTTCCATAGACTTAAGCTTTTAAAGCGTTTCATCCAGGTAGCCAGTAGCAAACAATGGAGCACGCTCTGCTGGACAAACTAAGTAATTACACCATTTCAAGCATTTTATCTGCATTATATGTTATGTAAAAATTTTTTTTTAATATCGGCGGCATATTCGCCGATAACGATATATCGGCGACAGGCTCATATCAGCTGATAATATTGGCTAAACGATATATCGGTCAGGCTCTAGTTTTCAATTCAATTAATCCCTTAAAATAGACATTCAAGGTTGAATTTGTTGCTTGATGTTATTTGATTTGCTTTGAAGTTAATCAACACTCACATTTAACATTTTCTTTTGTAGATCTGTTGAGACTCCAGACTGGAGGCTGTAGGTCCAGGTTGTCATTGGAAGTGCTTGAGATTGATTGCTTAACAGTATTACAATAACCTTGTTTAATTGGGATTTGATAGTCCGTGGAGGTAATTATAGCGGGCCGTTTGTCTGTTTGTTTTAGGAAAGGCTGAGATCTGTCAAATTTCTTGTGTGCCTCTCAATAGTTCAGCGACATGAGAAGCAGTAGATCAACAGTGAACGTTGACCTCCGATATCTGTAATGAAACTAGAAGGTTCTGAAGTATTGGCAAAAGAACTCTGTATAGTACTGTGTCCTCATTTTTTTCTCTTACAGAACAGCTTTTGAAACTTCCTGAATCATACATGTGAATCGTTGACCTGATGTTTGTTTCTGGTGGCTTTCTTTGTAGCCCTCAAAGAGATGAAAAATGCCGTTCTCTAGGTGATGTTAAGCTGTTTTGTCAACTTTAGTTATAGGCTATGCAGCCACTGAATTAGGCCTCTACACACAATCCTGTTCCCCAAAAATGTCAACAATCTAGGGGTGCATAATTAATAACTAATTATGATTAAAATTAAAATTAGCCCATAAATTACTCGCCCTCAATTCATCCTAGGTGTATATGATTTTCTTCTTTCAGACGAATCCAGTCGGAGTTATATTAAAAATGGTCTTTGATCTTTCAAGCTTTTTAATGGCACTCAGCGGGTGTTGCAGTGCATCAGTCCAAAAGAAGTTAAATAAAAAGCACCCATCCTTAATAGGGTTTGACGATAAATCATGATAAAATTCCCCATGGTTAGTATTACCATTTCATCTTTTAATTATTATTAAAACTAGGGATGCACCGATACCGATACTGGTCTCCTGTACTCGTACTCGTTAAAATGCCCCGATACCAAACGTCGATACCACACAGCATTTGATAAGTGCCATATTCAAACAAAGAAACACCGACAACAGAACAACAGACAGCAGAAAGGAGTTAAGGATGTCTACTACGAAGTATATGTATGAAATGAATATAATGTTAAACATTCAGTTTCAGTATTAACGCCTGTATAGCTGATGTGCGTGAGCTGATAAACAAAGCACGCTGAGTGGATTGAGCGTGCGGCGGCGCAGATGTGCGAGCTTGTCGAGTGAATATATCTTTCTCACAGACATCACTGGAAAGTGTCCAGCATAAAGCACAGTTTTAAGTAACAGTCTCACGTGAGCACAGCATGCAGAGTAGTTTCGTTTTGAGTGAAAACAGCAGAGAAAAGCTGGGAGGTTTTAAAAGAGTGCTAAGGGAATTATACAAATGAAAATATGAATTAATTAATTATATGAATGTACCTCTGAAGGCTCTGACTGTCTTCAGAAAAGAATCGATGGCATTTTGTTTTCATCTTCGCTCCATGTAACACCTAAAAGAAGTGTTCTTAATCGCAGTACTGCTTTGTGCTCGGAGGTTACGGGAAACAGCTCTAATTCAGCTTTTCCATCAGCGCCACCTGCTGTCAGAGAGTGGATTTACAGAGACTTATATTTACATTCAGTCTTGCTGTAAATCGTTGATGAGAAACAGGCTTATGTGGATTCTACACATTTAAACAATTCAGATAAGTTATCAGTTATCTTTTATGGGGCAGATAAAATACATAATTTATTAATCAGTTATCATTTTGTTTTAACATTTTTCTTTATTTAAAGGCACAATATGTAATATACAATATCCAAAAACGACTTGGACGGTGTGATATATTTCATGCAGTTGTGTACTTGCGTTATCCCAAAAGTTCCCAAGGATTTGTAAGTTTTAAATAATGGCTCGTCCCTGGTCATTGTCGCCTATCAATGACGTAATATCCGCATATCCTCAGTTTCCGCTTGTAGAAGCTGTATGTCAACACACGGACTCAAAAGCTGCTGTACACTTAAACTAAATCCATTACGGCTGTCGCGAATAAAATGAAAATGAAATGAAAAGTGTTGACCGTAGCATTAAATTTAGATCTGCTCAATGTTGCGCCATGTGTTTTTACAGTGTTGTGCTTTATAACCAATCACACACGAGTCTGTTGAGCTTATGAAGGCAATGGCCAATCAGAGGCCTTCAGATGAGTTTTTGTTCAGTGCACACGCTCGCGAATTCTCTCATCATAAACAACACCGTGCAGATGTGCGTATGATGTTAGCGATTCATTCATCAAACCGTGTATAGACAGCTTTACTGATTATAACGGGAGTTTTTGAAGAGTGCTTAAACTAGACTGAAGTCAGTCATAATGTTCTTTGACAATGTAAATGTTTTTTGTTCGCTTTCTCTGTATAATTTAATAACTGTTTGAATAACTGTGGAAGGTACAGGTAATAAAACAATTAATTAATTAATACCTCATCCGTGCACATCCTCCTTCATAGCGTCATCATGCTTCGCCTTTGTTATTGTTTAGAGAATGCGACCTCTAGTAGCGAAAACTTACATATTGTGCCTTTAAAGGCTGAAATGTGATGTTTACAATTTTATGAAACCTTTTCAAAGCTTTATTTGAACATTTTGTACATGCTATTAGATACACTGTTGTCAGTCATTTAAAATCCGGACATCATTGGTAATGTAATTGTTTTGGTGTTTATGCAAACAGAAAGTCATTTACTTGTTGTTTGTTGATTTTAAATATAAAACCTGGTGAAACAATGTATGTGTCTGCAATAAATTATAGATATAATAAATAAAAAACTAAATACGGTTGCATCTCTATTGCAGTTACCGGGCAGTGATATAGCCAGCGGCAGCGATGTGCTCTCCGACATCATTCCCAGCGTGCCCAGCTCACCCTGCCTCGCGGCCAAACGGAAAAACAAACCGCACCGAAACCTGGACGAGCTGCCCTGGAGCGCCATGACCAACGACGAGCAGGTCTCAAACCCTCACTCCTGGCAGCGTACGCAGTGACACTAGCACAGCTTGATGTGATACTGAAATATATGATGACACATGTTTAATTGGACACAGTTAGGGAAGAAAGGAAGCCGTGTCACTGCGTTTGCTTGTGTTATTCTGTTTCTTTGCAGTCAAGTGTCTTTTAGTGTCTGTGTGAGCTCACTTTGGTGATTTTCGTTTGTCAGGTGGAGTATATTGAGTATTTGAGTCGAAAAGTGAGCACAGAGATGGGACTTCGGGAGCAGCTGGACATCATAAAAATAATCGACCCGAGCGCACAGATTCTGCCGACGGACAGCGAGTTCATCATCGAGCTGAACTGCCTCACCGATGAAAAGCTCAAGCAGGTGATTAATTACACTCAACACCTCCTGCAAACAAACCACTCCTCCATCCACAGCACTGCCAGGTCTGATCATCAGCACTCTGTTTGCAATATGTTACACAACTTTCTATAATCTAAACACGTTCTAAATGGGTCATCGGATTCTAAATTCACTTTTACATGTTGTTTGGACTGAAACGTGTGTTGGCAGTGTGTGTACACATCCACCCTATAATGATAAAAATCCACACAGTGCTGTTTTCTTTTTTTAAATCCTCCAAAATAACCCCTTTCTCATATCAAGCCGTTCTCAGATTCTTGATGTGTGTCACAACGAATGCGGCTAAAGTTTACAGTCTCGGAGAACTGCGTCACCCCACGGTAGAGAGGGGCGGGGTCAGCAGAGCTCATTAGCATTTAAAGAGACACCGAAACGGCTCGCTGTGAACAGAGCTGATTTTGGCAGGGTAAAAACGGTGTTGTTTTACACTACCATTGAGAAATTTTACCCAAAGTATGTTATAGACTTTTCATTAAGACCCTAAAGAGTCATATCAGCTTGTGTAAAATGGGCATCTGATGACCACAAGGCATAACACTCTGGTTAACAGAAAAGAACTGGGTTCACACACTACTAGTCTTTCAGATCGCTCTGAACACAAAACAAACTCCCAAAGAAACATGGAATATCAAACACGTGGAATCAGGGTCTGTGTGCATCGTGTGGTTTTCTGTGATACTAGTGTTGACTCGTCCAGACTGGGGATCTGTGTGAAGGCGGTGTGTTGTTGTCCAGAGATCAGATTGGTGTGGTGTCTCCTGCAGGTGCGGAGCTACATCCGCGAGCACGGTCCGCGGCAGCAGCGCAGCGTGAAGAGGAGCCTGGCGAGCAGCGTGAGCGCTCACAGCAGCAGTGACGCCAGCATCACCAGCAGCAGCATCAGCAGCAGCAGCGCCTCCACCGCCTCCAGCATCAGCCGCGCTCACAGCGACGGGAACCTGGCCTCCGCCGCAGAGAGGATACGAGACTCCAAGGTGCTCCTCAGAGACACAGCGCAGTGATCCGCCTCGATCAAACACAGTGCAGCCGCTGACCTTCAGCATGCTGCTTTTTATTCAGTACTGATAGTTACACGTGTGTTCAGATATTTATATTTAAGATATTTGCATATAATCCACAAGAAAAAAACAAGAACTGGATTTACACAACTCCATTTACACTCCATTGCTTTGCATCCTGGTGTGTAGCTTCATTAATTGTCAGTGAGTGAGTGCTTCACAGGGGACTGCGTTACTGATTCAGATCAAGGCCATACTCTATATTCCTCAAGATTTAATTCTCCACCACAATGAGAAGAAGTCATCCGTAAGATTATGAAACGCAGTCAAGAGAAGCCTCCTGAGATGAGTGAGATCGACAGCACAGGGATACGCAGTGACAGTGAGTGAGTCTGTCTGATACAAGACTGATTGTTGTGCGTGGTGTTTTCCAGAAGCGCTCCAAGCAGAGGAAGCTGCAGCAGAAGGCTTTACGCAAGCGTCAGCTGAAGGAGCAAAGACAGGCTCGTAAGGAGAGACTGAGCGGTCTGTTCCTGAATGAGGAGGTGCTGTCTCTCAGAGTCCCGGAGGAGGAGGACCACTGCGATGACCTGGACGTGCTGATGTGACCCCAGTGACACTTCAGTGTTCCTTCTATGCCTCCTCCTCCTCCTCCTCATCATCACACACACACACACACACACACACACACA